GATGAGGATGATGATGATGATGTCGGTGGTGGCCATGATGACGACGAGGACGCGGATGATGGTCGCATTGAGAGTATGATCCCAAACATGATTTGTGCTGCCCCATAATCAATGATGGCGGCTCTTACTGCTGATGCGAATCCTGCGACCCCTTCTCCTATCACACACTTCTTGTCGCTACTGTCGACCCTAGAAGTATTCTAACTCTGCTGTCTGCTCCGACCCAAATACATTATACCTGCAACCATAACACCGTAAATCCGAAAGCCCTGTTCCTACAACAGCAACCCTAGCGCGAATGCTGTGCTTGCTGTTAGTTTATTAGCTGCCTTCGAAACCTCGCAACCTGACGAGGGCCCAGCGACTGGCGCTGCAAAGCCCATCCAACCAATAGCTCATGCACAGAACCATACAACCAACACAATTGTCTGTGTCTCAACTATAGTAGCAACATAGAAGCAGGGGAAGTAGTACCAGCACCACCAGCCAGCCATCAGACTAACAGAGACAAACGCAAGCACAGAGATACTGATGATGTTACGACCTATGCTACACCCGGGCCGTTATCTGTCCTTGCCTCCTCGTAGCTCCAACGATGGGACACAAAGGCGCGATGGAGCAGAAATAAGACGAGGCAAAGGCTGCAAATCTCGACGGCCTCTCGCATCTCTAGGTTCGGCTTATTGGCTTGGGGTATTGGTCTTCTGGCTTTGAGGCTTCACGACGCTTTGGGGGCTTAGGGTCTTTGCGTTGGGACGCTTTGGGGCTGAGGGTTCAGGACTGGAATTTACGGCTTGGCTGAGTGAATATCTGCGAAGACACGTTCCCCCCACCTGATACACAAAGTCTCCTGATGCATCCACCGGCAAATAGCCTGAGGCATTCAGAGCTAACCCCTGGCTTACCCCGGATCGGACTCAAAGCTGGACAACACAAGCCAACCCATCAAACAATCACCTACCAACGATTCAGTCAACCACCTACCTTCCTGGCTAGCGAGCCGGTTTGACAAGCTTTCCACATCCTCGACGTGCCTCAGACTCCCCAAGGCTCAAGTGCACCGCGTGACTTCGCTGCCGGGAGCCACCGGGTGCCACGAACCCGTGACTTTGTAGCCGTATAGGGTTCCACGCTTTGGTGCACCGAGCCCGCTGGGCGGTCAACTTCTTTGCTTCGCTTACTGCGAGCCGTGGCGGCCGCAGGATGACAGCTTCAGGCTGCCATGTTTGTCACTACAGTATCCATCCGGGGGGGGCATTACTAATTAATACTACTACAACCACCACCACAACAAAACTACTACCACCACTATCTACCACCTACTACCTACTACCTTCTTATTACCTACTTACTGCCTACTGCCTACTACCTACTACCTACCACCTACCACTACTACCACTACTACTACTACTACTACTACTACTACTACTACTACTACTATTCATTCAGCCGGTCACTCAGCTTGGCGTCAGGTACGAGGCAGCGCATTGCACCGGTGCTTCAAGAGCACTAGAACCACATGGGCAAGTCCCGCTACGAATAGCTGCAGACTTGAATCCTACCCATCGTATTCGCACGTCACAG